CAAGCACTCAACTTTGATTTCGCTCAAAAAACTTTTATTTTATTTTTATTTTTGATTTCTCAAAAGACCTAATAGAATTCCTTCGATTTCATTCCCAACCTCGAATAGAATATGGTTAGGCATTTTTCCTTTTTTTTTTCGCCATTCAACCAAGCACTCAACTTTGATTTCGCTCAAAAAACTTTTATTTTATTTTATTTTGATTTCAAAAGACCTTATGAAATTCCCTCGAATTCTTTTCCAAATTCGAGCAAAAAAAGTAACTAGGCATTTTCCCTTATCACCATGCAACAAAATAATTTTTCTTTTTCAACCAAAAACATTCAATTTTGATTTCATTCAACTATTTTTATATTGTTTTTATTTTGATTTCAAAAACCTTAATAGAACTCCCTCGATCTTCTTTCTTATATCGAGTAGAATTCGTTTAGGCACATTTTCCTTTTTTAGCCCACTATGTACCATAGCATTCATTGATTTCTTACAATTAAAAATTTTTGATTTCTATTAATTATACTCAACCTATATCATCAACACCATTCTATCTTACTTTTATGTCACCAGCAATGCTTGTATATAGCCCCTCAATACCCACAACTAATTTTCCCACAAAATTATTTTTCACTTTACAGAATTCTCTCAGGCTAACCCCTTCTTGAATTCTTCACATGTAGGGGGCGCATCTGTCATAATTTGTATATAATTAAATGCAACCCCGACCCACTATGTATGTACCATGTATGATTTTCAAAGATTTAATAAAAGAATAAGGTAACTGGAGGAAAGAAAGTAACAAAAGACATAGAAAGTAGATCTAGAGGAGAGCATATTTATTAATAACGACGCAGTTAACCTTCTGACCCCAGGTCCCTGCGAGCTAAGTTTAAACCAACACTTCCTGGAAAAACAGGACGTATCTAGTGACCAGAAGTTATAAATGTTAAAGCTAACACCCAATATTTCCGGCAAAGACAGGACGTATCTAATATCCGTCGAAGTTATAAGCGTCAAGCTACCCGACACTTCCTGACCCAGGCCGGGCGTAACTAACACTAAAGGAAGCCGCCGGCCAATCAGAAGATAGCATCTAAATAGGTCAACCAATAGGGAAAGATCATGTGATCATCTCTCAACCAATCAGAGAGAAACTGAGTCTTGGTGTTAAATCGGAAAGCAAGAATGGTCAGTTACGTTTTCGCTCTCATAGGAACAACACCTACAGTTGTTCAGTGGCTCTCGCCGAGTTCGGACAGTTGCTCCTTCGCTTCCAACAAGGTAACATCTACTCTAGAGATCTCTCTCTCCGCTCATTTCATCTAAATCCCATCATCGCCATGTGATCAACTAATTAATAAGTCAAATCGCTCAACTCTTCTCAAGCTTTCTTCCCTCCAACCCAGTTGCCTTTTATTTTCAAACTCAATCATGTGTCCTGATTATTCCTAACTGTATGCTGCAACTTCCACTCAAACGGCTGCGCTTCAACCAAATCTCACCATTCGCATCCAACAACAAGAAACCCCGCAACGATATTGCCACATATATGTTGACACACATTAATTGTTATAACATCTTGATAAAGGTTGGCGTTCAGCCAACTGAAATATTGGTGAAATAAATGATTTTTTGATACAAGATATGTTTTTTCAATTAAAAATTTTAATATATGTAAATGTGTTTTTTTATTATCCCTAGTACACGTGGTACAGACCATGATAATCATGGTGGGTAGAAGCACGTGACTCTTTTTACTGTAAGTGCACCACATGTCCACACATGTAGAAAGCAGTTCGACATATGTACTTACAAGTGTACCAGAGCCCTGTTTGGTTACTTGCACTCGCTAGTGGGGTTGGACTTTTATAAGAATCGGGGGCCATTGGAGCATTTTATTTAATTAGAAAAAAGTGCCCAATGCGGGATTTGATCCCGGGTTGTAGCAGTCGAAAACCAACGGTTTAGACCATCTTTCCACCGACCTCCCATGTAAATATGAAGAAATGTATCTTATATTCGGGGGGAGAGAATTAAAAAAGTAATAAATTATTAAGTAAATGTTTAGATTGTCGAATGTAAATTTTACTTACAAAAAAAAAAGAAGAATAAAATATTAATTATTAGCAAATATGCATATTTTATTTTAAACAAATTTAACTATATAATATTATATTTTTGGCAAATGAGTTTATTAAAAAAAAACACATTTAACCAACCCAAAAGAAAAAATAAACTATATACAACAGAACAAAAAAATATATATATTTTTGGTCAAATTACAAAAAATATTTATCTATATATATAAAAATGAATGTATTTGTGTGTGTGTGTGTGTGTCCTTTATGCCTGATTAAACCACTCATTGGAACGCCATGAAACTTTGGGAAGTTATTTAGTATAGTACTGGGAAGGTTTCTAGCAAATAAAATTTTTGAAATAACTTTTCGCCTAAAAATAATCAAGATAAATATTCTAATTTATTTGTTATAATTCAACAATCTGCTCTAAATATTATCATGATGATACGATGATTTTGTAATGTATAAAATTAGGAAAGACAAAATGAGACAAGAATAATGATACAATTCCAAGGCTAGATACTATTCCTTTAACTTCCAATTACCGAGGGAACCAATTAATATTGATTTTATTCAACCTATCGAGTATTTTTCAAGGGACCGGGAAAAAATGTTCACTTTATCGAGATATTCGTTAGACAAACTTTTACTCGGGTAAAACTCGGGCGAAGCCGGGTACATCCGCTAGTATATTATAAAAAATTAAATTGAATATAACATATATATATATAAGACAATTTATCTTCTTATACGTTCTCATTTTTACTCCTGTAGATGGGCAGAAATGTTCGAAATCTCGATTAAAAAAAACCTTACAAGAAACACTCACCTCACTATTTTGTATCTTTTGATAATTTACTGCTCTCTCGAGGTGTTTATCCAACTTATGAAATATGAAAAAGATTGGATCTGTGAAAAAAAAACAATTTTTTGCTCAAATATTCCGAAGGGTTACTCAATCCCTCCAAATATTTTGACATTTTCTATTTCATAGATCCAAGTGTATTCCTTTTAAAATGGTATAAGTCTGGAAAATCGTATAAAATTTATTAAAAATTCACATCCTATATTTCATATTTTCTCATGTCAAATATTTTGTCGAGAAGTAATATTTGAGAAATATTTAAATATTTTAATATTGTTACCCCTGAATATGAAAATAAATATCTTGTTTATGATATATACCCGTAAAAAATCTATAATTATATATGAGAAATTTAATGCATATCATATTTTGATAATCATTTATTATTATTTTTTAAAATAATTATTATACTCATGGACAGAACTTAAGGAAGTTTCATAATTTAGGCATAAATCACCTCTTATTTAGGTAAAAGAAAATTGCGATATAATTTTATAAAAATATCTAAAAACTTACGCAATAAGTTTCTTTGTTATAAAACCACCTCAACTTTCGACCCCTCGCTCTTCGACGGGCGAAGTTACAACTGGGAGTGAGCACAGAGAGGGGGAGAGATTTGCTAAATAATGGCTGTTTATCTTATTTGATTATATAATGGCGGATTTCCCATACATGTAAATTCGAATGTTCTGCTTAAAAATTAAAATTTACATACAATCACTTATAAAATGAAAGGATTTAAAAGCACGAATGTTTCTTTTATACATAATACAAACTTCTACTGTCCTTACTGCGATGTGTGTTAATACAATCACTTGTTGAACACGTGTCGAAAAGAAGGTTTAACATGCTGGCATTATAGCACACTTATATTGGATTATTGTATTCCTACTGGATACCTTACCAAGGATTTACCAAGGATAAAGTAATCAATGACTACGAGGCACCAACTGGATGACATAGCAAGAGGAAGAGCGATCGGGAAGATCGATATGGGGCAACAACTTCGGGAAGTCTCCAAGTTGTTAAACGTGTCTGAAAGCATGATATCCCGTCTCTGGAGCCAATTCCATACTACTTGGACTTGTCGCCGGAGGAAAGCTGGGGGCGCTCCAAGGTGACGACCGATACCTGGCTCTAACAGCCAATCGTTCACTGAAGATGTCAGCCCGCCAACTCTCCCTGAAGCTTGCCAAGGCCACTGGAAGAATTTTATCCTAGAAAACCGTCTCACGAAGGCTCAATATGCAAGGCTTTTATGATAGGCAGCCTGAGATATGCGTCCCTTTGGCCCCAATTCAAAAAAGGTGTCGCCTTGCATGGTACAGAGAACACGTCAACTGGTACCATGACCAATGGAGTCAAGTTCTGTTCCCAGACGAATCCAGGTTCTCATCCTAAATAATGATTCCCGATGCTCATACATCTGGAGAGAAAGGGACACAAGCTACCACCCCTCAAACATCGTAGAAAAGGATGCCTATTGTGGAAATAATGCGATGGTCTGGGCAGGGATCATGGCAAAGGCCGCACGCCCGGCTGTTGGTGGTGATAAAGAATGTCCCAAAAACATCAGTTTTGATAAATTCAGACAGCCGACTTTTATTAAGGGAAGTTTTCTCTTTTGGTAAACGAATTACATCCTTCTGTCACTTTCTGTTATCAAGGTATTATTTTGTACGTGCGAGAGAATCAAATAACAGATATTTATTTCCAATTTATACCTGTTTTAAAACTATAAAATTCAAAGATAATAATAATCTAGCAAATATATTTTTACTAGACGAATGGCCCGGGCAACGCCCGGGTTTTACCCGAGTGCGTATATATTTTAAAAACGTTTTAATTCAAATACTATTCGTTACAATTATAAATTGACGCCGTGGATGTCACTCTTGTGAAACGTCCCGTTCCAAACTGTGTGTTTTTAAAATGTTTTAATTAAAATACTATTCGTTACAATTATAAATTGGCGCCGTGGATGTCTCTCTTGTGAAACGTCCCGCCCCAAACTGTGTGTGACTTGAAAATATAAAAATAAAAATGTGAACGGAAATATAGGTCCAGGGTAGCCTAGTGGTCATGGCATCTGCCCGGTAAGCGGAAGGTCGTGGGTTCGATTCCCATCCCTTGCCACTTTTTTTTATTTTATCCATTCTGACCAAAATCTATCCGTGAACTTCACACAGTGAACTCCACACAGACAGAATAAGGCAATTATATAAGTAGATGATGCATTAGCGCGCCATCTGTTATGAAAATTCAAAACTATTATAGACGCGTATGATTCTTTTTAAAATAAGACAATTTTTGCCCTTACTACAATGTAGCCAGACCCTCTCATTAATTTTACCATTGCAGTAAGGGCAGTAGAAATTGTTTATTTTTAAAAAGAATCATACGCGTCTATAATAGTTTCGAATTTTCAAATTTATTTTTATTTTCACAGGATTAAGCGCACTTTAACTTTCACGTGACTTCAATTTTAATCAGATTAATAGGCTTTTTATAAGAAGATACTCAGTTTGTGTATCCAATTCTGGGCTAAGAGGTAAAAAACAAGTTTCAGGATAAAAACACAGCATCTATTGACTGAATAAAGGAATTCCCTTCGATCCCAACTTGGAGCGACCAACTAGTTAGGAGCTGTCAATGACATCTGTCGCTCGGGGCGGTCCAGATGGGAGTCACTCTTGTATTTGTCTTCCACATACAGCGGTGAGGATAAATCCCTGTTGCTCCATTCAGTAAAACTAGAGAATACTTTCACTGGGATATTCGAGTTTATCTCAACTAGAAATTGCTAATAATATTGTCACGAAATTTGTTTATAGAAAATGTAAATCAAATGTCTCTATTAGTAAATATGCAAATATTTTTATGTTTAATGTCATATAAAGAAGATATGTAAATTCTATAACTGATTTTTCATTTCTTGTTTTGTTGTGAGGGAAACATCACTTACGAAGTTTATCAATTGATTAATAAAATTCTAATTTGAAATCGCGACAATATTTATAGATATTTATATGACTAAAATATTGCTCTGCGGTGAGGACCCGATTTGTACCTTCTGTAATTCAAAACTTAAAAAAATGATATCACCCACTATATTTCTGATTGCTCTGCTCTGAAAGAAGAAAGAAGAACCCTTATGCTTAAAACTGGGCAACTCTGTGCTTCTCTTCCATCAATAATTGACAATATGACCCAAAATTAGTATATTGCTATGGCGTTTTATGGTTTCCACAAGTCCATATCTCAGAAGAAGGCCAAGTGACACTCACTCCTCACTTTCTTACCGCTACTCTTTTTGTGTTGTTTTTTGTGTTGTTTTTTTTCTTGCTTCCCTCTTTATTTTTTTATTTCTGTTTATATTGTTGTTTCCTTTGTTTCACTGCTTTGTTCTTATGCATACCTCTGGTGAATCCTGTTTAGGGTCAGTGACCCTATATGAAGGCTTTTGTTGTTGTTAAAAAAAATATATAACTAAAATATGTTTATTTATTATTGAAGAGATACCATTTTCTCTCAGTTAGATTTCACTGTCATTATAAGATTATATATGGTTATATTTATTGTTGTTGTCGTGTCCAATTAAGATAATCTGATGTCTCCATACATCTCTATCACAGCAGTTGCAATGTCTTCTATCTTGGGTGTGTATACTGTATTGTTGTTGTTGTCGTGTCCAATGAAGAGCCTCAGATGTCTCCATGCATCTCTATCACAGTAGTTGCAATGTCCTCTATCTTAGGTATGTATACTGTATTGTTGTTGTTGTCGTGTCCAATGAAGAGACTCAAATGTCTCCATGCCTCTCTACCACAGCAGTTGCAATGTACTCTATCTTGGGTGTGTATACTGTATTGTTGTTGTTGTCGTGTCCAATGAAGAGCCTCAGATGTCTCCATGCATCTCTATCACAGTAGTTGCAATGTCCTCTATCTTAGGTATGTATACTGTATTGTTGTTGTTGTCGTGTCCAATGAAGAGACTCAAATGTCTCCATGCCTCTCTAACACAGCAGTTGCAATGTACTCTATCTTGGGTGTGTATACTGTATTGTTGTTGTTGTCGTGTCCAATGAAGAGCCTCAGATGTCTCCATGCATCTCTATCACAGTATTTGCAATGTCCTCTATCTTAGGTATGTATACTGTATTGTTGTTGTTGTCGTGTCCAATGAAGAGACTCAAATGTCTCCATGCCTCTCTACCACAGCAGTTGCAATGTACTCTATCTTGGGTGTGTATACTGTATTGTTGTTGTTGTCATGTCCAATGAAGAGATTCAGATGTCTCCATGCATCTCTATCACAGTAGTTGCAATTTACTCTATCTTGGGTGTGTAAACTGTATTGTTGTTGTTGTCGTGTCCAATGAAGAGCCTCAGATGTCTCCATGCATCTCTATCACAGTAGTTGCAATGTACTCTATCTTGGGTGTGTATACTGTATTGTTTTTGTTGTCGTGTCCAATGAAGAGCCTCAGATGTCTCCATGCATCTCTATCACAGTAGTTGCAATGTCCTCTATCTTAGGTATGTATACTGTATTGTTGTTGTTGTCGTGTCCAATGAAGAGACTCAAATGTCTCCATGCCTCTCTACCACAGCAGTTGCAATGTACTCTATCTTGGGTGTGTATACTGTATTGTTGTTGTTGTCGTGTCCAATGAAGAGCCTCAGATGTCTCCATGCATCTCTATCACAGTAGTTGCAATGTACTCTATCTTGGGTGTGTATACTGTATTGTTGTTGTTGTCATGTCCAATGAAGAGACTCAAATGTCTCCATGCATCTCTACCACAGCAGTTGCAATGTACTCTATCTTGGGTGTGTATACTGTATTGTTGTTGTTGTCATGTCCAATAAAGAGACTCAAATGTCTCCATGCATCTCTACCACAGCAGTTGCAATGTACTCTATCTTGGGTGTGTATACTGTATTGTTGTTGTTGTCATGTCCAATGAAGAGACTCAGATGTCTCCATGCATCTCTACCACAGCAGTTGCAATGTACTTTATCTTGGGTGTGTATACTGTATTGTTGTTGTTGTCATGTCCAATGAAGAGACGCAGATGTCTCCATGCATCTCTATCACATCAGTTGCAATGTCCTCTATCTTGGGTGTGTATACGGTATTTTTGTTGTTGTCGTGTCCAATGAAGAGACTCAGATGTCTTCATACATCTCTATCACATCAGTTGCAATGTCCTCTATCTTGGGTGTGTATACGGTATTGTTGTTGTTGTCATGTCCAATGAAGAGACTCAGATGTCTCCATACATCTCTATCACATCAGTTGCAATGTCCTCTATCTTGGGTGTGTATACGGTATTGTTGTTGTTGTCGTGTCCAATGAAGAGACTCAGATGTCTTCATACATCTATATCACAGCAGTTGCAATGTCCTCAATCTATGGTTATATATAAAATATATATTTGAATAAATAAGAATATATTGATATATTTATATTTTGTAAACATTGCGAAATAAAAACTACAAAAGAAATGTAGCACTATCTATCCGATTGTATGCATTTTGAAGGTCATTGATCAGATATATGTTGAACCAGTTCAACTGATTAAAATCACATCAGAAAATAAAACGTAGAACTATTGGGTTGTAAAGAAAGTTCGTTAGGGTTTTGTATCTCTTTGTTTCATAACGGGTTTTGTTGTTATACGGTAAAGGGTTTATATTATTTAAATAGTACTTGTTCTGCTCTACATACCTGTATAATTTGTTTTTTGAAAAACGTAAATTTTTTTTCTTTTTCCAAGCTTGAAAATGGAATATCCAGGAGGAAAAAAATCATCATTTTTGACATCTGATTTTCTTCGCTTTTCATCGAGGTCAAAAACAGCCGAAGCAGCACGGGACATATGCAACGTGTATGGAAAAGGTGTCATAGGGAAGCGAGCAGCACAAAAATGGTTTGTAAAGTTCAAAAACGGCGATTTGAACCTTCTCGAAACTTCAAATTATATTTAATAAATTCGTGAACTATTGTGATATATATAGAAGAGAGTCTATGGAATAGTATTTGTCTATATTGCTTCGTATGTTTCTGATATTTCAATGCATCTGTTTATGCTTTTTTGATGTTTGGTTATCATAGATTATATTAAAATAATAATATATTGTGTTTCTCCTGTAGAAGGGCTATCACATGCCTGAAAGCTAGAGATCTGCAAATAAAATATTTAAAAAGAAACCAACCCCTGGAAGACTGAAGTTTTCACCTTAATAATCATACGAGTAAAATAACAGTGCATTCATAAGTAAAGCTTTGGTAGAGCTGTCCATTAGAGAAATGAGTAACTATTTTTTAGCAATATGTTTCTTATTAAATTTTATAGTATATCATATAAGAGAAACATAATACCAAAAATATTTACATATTTAAACCATATATGGGAATTGTAATTTATAATAGAAATGTGTTTTAAGACATTTGGGGGAATGTAAAAAAAAATGGAAAGAAAGTTGTGCCAATTGAATGTATTCTCCCAATCAATATATATAAAACAAATCTTTAATTAAAAAAGCATATATTGGATCAAAATATTATTTATTTTACCAATATTTCAGTTGGCTGAACGCCAACCTTTATCAAGGTATTATAAAATTTTAAAGTATAATACCTTGATAAAGGTTGGCGTTTAGCCAACTGAAATATTGGTAAAATAAATTATATTTTGATCCAATATATACCTTTTTATAAAAAAATTTATTTATGGATTGCTCTATTTTAAAAAGAAAATAAAACAAATCGTTCTGAAAATAGAGCCATCCATACTTAAATCATTAGATAATAAAATAAATATATTTCATTGATTTATGGATTGATTTATTGATCGGATATATGCCTTTTTTATTATCTAATAAAACAAATCGTTCAGCCAACTCATATATGGGTGAAATAAATGATAATTTGATCCAATATATGCTTTTTTTAAAACAAATCATTGTGTTTATAAATTATCCCATTTATGTAGTATATAATAATTTTATATGATCAACTATATTTGTGAAAATAAAATTCAATTGTAATTTATTTGGAACTGCCTATTAAGAAATTCAAAATAGTTCTAAAAAGTCCCCATAGGTGGCAGTACGACATCCATGCAC